CTAATTTTTTCAATGGTGTGGCACTAAGTTTTTTTGTTTTTGTTTTTTAACTATGTAAAGTATTTTGAATTTAATCATATCTTTATCAATTTGTTAATAATTTGTTGATATCATAGTGATTTATCATTGATTTATTACATATATAGATATGATGTATATTTGATATATAGTTGTATATCAGTATTTTAGATTTTATTTTCTTTGTTTGCACCTTTGTTTTCATTTGAAAAAAAAAGTTATGGAGATATATTAACATTATATCAACACACAAATATCATAGTTATATCAGTAGATATCATAGTTATATTAGAGGTATATCAATGGTAAATTAGAAGTATACCATGTATATATCATATATATATTAGTGGTAAATCAAATATATATCAAATTTCAAATTCTATGCTGTAAAAGTCAAAGAAACAGGAATAAAAAAAACCAGAGAAATAGAGCAGTTGTCAATGGCGTTGCAGATTATATGTAGGAGAAATCTGAAGCCATAAATTCCCATTTCATCTCCAATTCAAAGTTCATGTTCATCTCATTCTCCAATTCCTCGGTCATCTTCTAAATCAACCTCCCCATCTACTCCTTTCTGTTCATCTCCCCACCTTTCTCCCCTTCCAAAAACTCTATCAAATTCCCCACCATCTGCTGTTGGTCATCCAAGCTTCTCTTCAACGCCATCAATCCCTCCACTATCGACTCATTATCCACTATTTCCTCCTCCCCCACGAGGCTGTCGCCTCTTGTATTTAAAAATCTCCTCCTCCAATTCCCCTTCCTCGTCCTATCGCTGTTGATTTTCACAGACGAAAAACGCTACAGTTTCCCCAATTTGAACTTCTCTTCCACTCTCGAGAACATAATGTCTGTCCTCGTGGACTCCGCTTGGAATTTTAGGGCCACCGTCTTCGATATGTCGTTGCCCTTTGACTGGTACAAGACTTTGGGAGTGTTCTTGTTGTTGAAGGCTTCACCCACCATGTATCCCTTGTACGAGATCTGAAAAAGGGTAATGTTGGAATAATAAAAAATGACAAAATCAGAATTCTTTGCTATATTTGAAAATTTTAAAAGTTGGTAACATATTTTGAAATATATAAAATAGTTTTGCTACCCAATGCAATTACCCTTTATTATATTATCAAATTATATTCTTTAAAGAAGAAAAATATCAAAGATAGGCTTATCATTAAAAAAATGTTGTTTTAAAATTATGTACTTAAGATAATAGATATTATTCATAATAAGTCATTCTAAATATTAAAAGTAAATGGGGATATTATATAATTTAATTGAAGTTTATTTTATATGTACGCATAATACATAAAGTCCATCTAGGAAGAACTCCTAAGCTCATCTACAGAAGATATCCTAAGTCCTCTAGGAAGAGTTCTTAAGCTCATCTACGGTAGAGCTCCTAAGCTCATCTACGGAATATCCTAAGTTCATCTAGGAAGAGCTCTTAAGCTCATCTACAGAAGATATCCTAAGTCCATCACGGAAGAGCTCCTAAGCTCATCTACGGAAGAGCTCCTAAGCTCATCTACGGAAGA